AAGTAGAAAATTACATGCTAAAGATTCACAACGGCATCAAAAGACTATGTCCATTGACAAAAGAATTCCTATCTTGCAAGTGTCCTTGTTAGGGATTCTAATGATCAATATCCTAGCAATATCAATGTAAACTGTACTTGTAGTTTCACTGTCGTCGTGTCGTCTTTAATCAAATTTAGCACTACTCTCATTAGACATACAATTATAGAAATCAGAATATTTTTACGATCATGGAAATAGTCAAAAATTTCGTCTGGAAATCGAAAAACAAAATTAATTTCTTGTGACAACTCTGTATTTGCAAAAACATGAAGAAATCGATCATATTTTGGAGAAAACCGCCAAAAATTGATTAAAGTCGATTAATTGTAAGATGTTTCTGTAATAAAAAAAATGTTGAACATTTTTTTAATCACCGCAATCTTTTTTACAAAATCCATATTAGTATATGATGATTTCAATGTTATAAACGAATTAGTGCAATTATTATTGTATTAATTTTCAAAACGCTTTTAATAGTGATGATTATCGTGAAAGCAACCGGTCGGTGATTTTCATCGGCGTATATGTTCTGAACTGGTTTTGCGGCCGAGTCGTTAATAATTAAGACAAAAAATGGATGAGTAATGAGAAGAAGATAGACAGTCGCGGTCTAAAACTAGAATTCGTATATAATGATTGTAGAGGACTTATTTCTTTTTTCACTTATCAATTTAATGATGTTTTATATATATATGAGATCAAGGGAATATTTATACATAAAATAGTTAATAAATATTAATAATTTAATACAAATAAATAGTTCATAAATTTTGTAGATTGTTATTAAAATTATTTTCCACTATTATAATATTGTAATCGTGTTTTTGGCACTTGAAACTAAAATTCGTCGCTAGACGTGAATTTTTCATCAAAGTAGCAGAAGTTAAAAATCCAAAATGGCGGATTTAATATGGCGGAAGAAAAAAATGATAAAGTAGATTGGAGTCATTAGAAATTTATCAGTCAGGGGTTTTTGCGAATTTGTTATCAGAATTAACAAATACAAGATGTGGGATTCAATATGGCAGAAGAATTTTAAAAAATTAGCCAAATATCCTTTTGTTGGTGATTAACATCTCAAAAGTAAAAACGGTGATTAATTAAAGTTTGTGGAAAAATTTGAAAATAAGAATCAGATGATTAAAATTAGTGAAATAGATGCATACAATTAGTATTATAATATTGCAGAGAATATTTGTGGATACGGAGAAAAAAAAATTTAGAAATATTAATATTCAACTGTGAAGAACAATATTTTTTTTTGTCCCCATAATTCTCTTATGGCTCAATGTAATTATAGACTTTTTTTTATTTTGACATTAATATTTTGCTAGAATGGTTTTTTTTATAGTATTGCACTAGCACACAAGTCTGAACCACAGAGACTTGTGATGTATATTCTTCTCGTTTACAGTGATCAATTAAAGTGTAGACTTGCTTTTATAGCCATATACTAGTTTTAATTACCACACGATGAATAAATCATTAAATTCTCATTAAATCACGTAAATTTTGAATGGCCAATATTCCTCTTTTATTCACGACAATAAACTTAGTAATTAATATATATGACGGTTTTTGGGAAGAATAAAAAACGACGATGACAGGTCAATAAAATTATATTTTTCGTAAACAATTTTTAAAAAAATGTTTAATAATTTAAATGTTTAATAAAATTCATTATTTATAATTATTACAAGGCTCGAACCAGTGAAATTATTTAAAAATACTTCCTCTATGAGGAAGTAATACGGACTTTACGGACCAAAAATAAAAAATTACGGACCAATTATTACTGACGAAAATCATTATTTCATATTACAATAAGAATTTTGTTACTGCAACTTCTTCAAAATTATTTTCAACATTTCAATTCAATAATTATTTTTTAGAATTTTTAACTAAAATTATTTTAATAATTTTCAAAAAAATTTCTTTTTGAGAATTTTCAAATTCATTTGTTGACAATTCAATTTTACCAAAAACTTTGATTATTCGTAAATTTCTTACACACAAAAAACCTGGACTCATTTTTGTTCATTCTTGTTGCGTTTCAAATTGTGTAGCGTAGGCTACTCAATTTGAACCTAGGCTTTTTCAGTGTAATTAAATATATATTAAAAAATAACAACTTCTAAAAATTTCAAAAAAAAAATTCAATTAAAACTTTTGAAAAAAATTAATTTCGCAGAATTGTTAGTTAAAATATTAATTTAAAACCTTTTCAGAATTCAATTATTTCTAAAAATGCATGCTTTAATGCGCTTTTCATATTCAATTATTATCTATAAAATTTTAACTGAAATTCCATTTTTAAATAAATTTTTATTAGAAAATTCAACTAGAATTCAATTATTTAAATAAAAAAGTTAATAACTTATTGGAAAATTGAATGTGTCATTAAATTGAATTCTCATAAAGAATTCTTCAACAAATTTGTAAATAACTCAATTCTTTTCACAAATTATAATAATATTTTTAAGAATAATTAAATTCTTCGAGAAATTCTATTACAATTGAATTTAAAATAATTGAAATTCTGTGATGAGTTTTATTATTTATGAAAATAATGAAATTATTGTGAAGAAATTTATAAAAAATTTGTAAATAATTGAATTCCCTGTGAAATTTTAATTATTTTATGAATATAATTAAATTTTTGAACAGAATTTAATTAAAAATTTTTAATAATTGAATTTTTTGTCGAGAATTCAATTTTAAGAAACTTTCAGTTATTCAATAAATTTTTTATTTTTGTGTTTAAATAATTGAATTCTCGTAGAATTTTCTAATATTAATTGACTTAAAAATGAATCAAATTTTTGAAATTAATAACATTTTTCGAAGATTTTAATTAAAATTGTATTAAAAATATTGAAATCCCGTGAATAATTTTATTATTTAGGAGAATAATTGAATTCTTACAACAAATTTTATAAAATTTTTTTAAAATAATTTTTGAAAATAATTGAATTCTTACGAAGAACTTTATTAATTTTTTTTAAATAATTCAACTCTAGCGAAGAATTTTATAAAAATCATTTTAAATAATTGATTTTTTTTGAAAAATTTTATGAAAAAATGTGTTTGCAAATAATTAAATTCCTGCGAAAATTTTATTATCTATGAAAATAATTGAATTCGTAAAAAGAATTTTATTATTTACGAAAATAATTGAATCTTTGTAAAAATTTTATATTATTTATGAAAATAATTGAATTATTGCGAAAAAATTTACAAAAAAATTTGCAAATCATTGAATTTTTTCAAAGAATTTTATCAAAAAATTTGATAATAATTGAATTTCTTCGAAGAATTTTATTATTTATGAAAATAATTGAATTTTGGAAGAATTTAAAAAAAAAATTTCATAATCTTAATTAAATTCTTTTGAAGAATTTCTTTGAGTTTCTTTAAAATAATGGAGTTTCTTTAATATAATATTAATTGAATGTTTTCAAAGTAATTGAATTTCATATGAACAATTTCTTTCAAGTTTTTACAATAATCGTCTTTCTTAATAATGGAAATTAAACATTTAATTCTTGAATTTTATTAAAATTTCTAGAAAATAATTTAATTCTTTAAGGGAATTTGAACCATTATGACGTCACGTATTTAGAACAAATGCTTTGAACAAACTGTGACGTCATAATGGTTCAAATGCCCTTAAAAAATTTTTTTTAATTTATTGAATACAATCGAATTTGTTAATAATTGTATTGAAAATAATTGAATTCCTGAGAAGAATTTTGTTATTTATGAAAAATAATTTTGCGACGAATTTTACTATTTATAAAAACAATTGAATTGTTTTGAAGGATTTATTAAAATTTTAGAAAATGATTGGATTCTTTCGAAAACTGTTATTAAGAATTTTTAAAATTTTTTTAAAATTTAATTCTTTCATGAAATGTATAAAAGTTGTATTAAAATTTAAAAATAATTGAATTTTTGCAAAGAAATTTGCTATTTATAAAAGTAATTGAATATCTTTTGAAGAATTTTGTTATTTTTCTAAATAATTTAATTTTTTCATGATTTTTTGAAACTAATTGAATTTCGGAGAAGAATTTTGGTATTTCGTTATAAATTTTGATGAGAATTTAAGAAAAATTTTGAAAATGATTGAATTTCCGCAAAAAATTTTATTACTTTTGAGAATAATTGAATTTTTAGAATTATTTGTAACTTCTCAAAAATTCTCCAAATTATATTGTTGAATTTACGGACTTTTCTTGCTTTTTCAATGAAATTACGGACTTTACGGACCTTTTTTGAAGAAAACTGACTTTTACGGACTTTAAACAAATTTACGGAGTTTTACGGGATTTGCGGACCTGGTTCGAGCCCTGTATATTTATAATAAAAAAAGCAACGACGTATTTTAAATTTAAAATAATAATCAAGACTTATTTTGATATTTTGGTTGAAAAATGAGATACACTGGATTTTATAGAGGGCAAAATCTGTATAGACTTTGATTTAAGGAATTTGAAGAAATGAAATTGCTCTGCAAGCAGCTAATAATCTCATCACCCCTTGTTCAATCAGGGTGGAAAAGGCAACCCTTGTTTCTTGTTTAGAGCTCTTTATTCTACCTCGAACCATGGTTCAAGTCTCAATTCAACGAAGAAGAGTTTTCAAACTGACCATCGCGCGCTTTATAGTTTGCGTAATAACACGACGGCTTTGACCGGCCCTTCTCGATATTAAGCATTCCACAGGGGAACGATGCCGATGCAATAACGCGAGTTATCGATGCATTATATAGAAATGAATTTTCATCGACTGCTTCCTTTCAATAAGTTTACATTTTTAATATCCCTTAAATATTTCCCCTACAAAAGTACATGTTCAGTTTCTAAATGTAATAAGAATACGAATAAAGTTTGTTAGCCGATATATTTCATAAGTATTAATAACTTTTGTAATAGAGGGATCTAATTTACTTGCAGATATGAAACCATCGGACAGGGGTGACAAGGCAATGTTAACAGGGAATGCACAACCTTCGGACGTTTTTTGTTCGGTGCCTGGAAGGTTATCGTTATTAAGCAGCACCAGCAAGTACAAAGTGACAGTGGCGGAGGTTCAAAGACGATTATCACCGCCGGAGTGCTTGAACGCGAGTCTCCTCGGCGGAGTGTTGCGGAGGTAAGTTTATGGGTGCATAGTTCCAGCTGTGCGAGTCAAATGTATCTCGGCAGCAAACTTATGTTTATTGACTTTCAAAAATTACATGTAAACCAAACCACTATTACTTTTTAAATTATGTACTTCCACATTTAGAAACTACTGTTACAGAGAAACGTTTCTTCCTGTACTTTATTTTATTCCCATGAAAATTATATTACCTACTGCTGTTTGAGCTTTTTAATATTCAATTCAAAACTCAACAGAAAAAAGCAGTGCAGTGGAAGTTTATTTAAAATTAGTTCATTCGATTTCTCAGAATAATTTCAGATTCAAACTTTATAAAAATTCAATTATTAACTGATTTACTAATTAATTATATTTTTGTTTATTAATTTCAAGAAAAATTTTTTTATTAAAACATCAATTTTCATTAGAGGAAAGAATTAACAGTTTCTGCTAACAGTTCAAAAAAAAATTTTTTTATGAAAGCAAAAATTTTATTAAAGGGAAGAATTTTTCTTTTTCTATTGTTTTCAATTTTTTTCCAACAGATAAAAAAAGGAAATTTTTTTCTATAAATGTGAAAAATTTCATGAAAGGGAAGTGTTTTTCGTTTTTCATTGTTTTCTTTCACGATTTGTATCTCTAAAGTTAAAAAAAACATTTAAAGAAAATACACTTCGCTGGGTTTCTTTCCAAGTGAGAGAAAAAAACTCGAGAAAAAGTAAAAATAAAGTTTCTTTGATTATATATTTTGACGCCTATAGGGAAATGGTTTACGACGGTCTGCATCCGACTGGTAATGGTAATTGTCTGATCATAGACACAATTTCCTTTGGTTCGAACGAAAAATGATATTGCTTTTTGCAGTCTTGTTATTCTAACAACTAACGTAATATGCCTGGATGTACATGTAATGGGAGACCGAGAGAATTACTTATATACTAGTTACTAACATATTCGAGGTAACTCAAGTACCGAACGAAGGAATGGTCCATTCACGAGTGAAGTTCTCTCTCTCCCTCCCCTAACTTCATTCATATGCTCTAACGAGTTGTTCTTCGACTCGTACTTGTTATAACTGTCATTCCCATATCTTCCATCTCTGCAAAATGTATCTCATAAAATTATTTGTATCTATTAAAAATTTACTCCCGAGTCAAAATTTAGACTCCAGTTTAAGTAGGGTAAGGGGCCACCCATTTTTTGAACGACTGTAACTCCTAAACGGTATTATATTCCCTGACTTTTCTAGGTTGTCCAGGTTAAAAAACGGAATTTTTCCAGGTTTTTAAAACTACATTTATATTTTACAAAATTTTTAATTCAAACCTTAAATTACAGAATCAATAGTTGCAAACTCTGTTTTTCGCTTATAAGAAGCCATCTTAAAATATTGATAATTATTTATCCTGTTTCATACATTAAACACTAAATTATTTTATTATTCATCATAAAATTTTCCAAATCGATAAAATTTACATTTTCCATAATATATTTTGGTAAATATTACATCGTAAAAAAATTCAAAAGTGATTTTACATAAAAACGCATGGTGGCCACTTTAGGGCCAGGTCGACATTTTTTAAAAGTTATCAAAAAATTGTATAACACACAATTTTATCGATATTCATTTATAATATTATTGTAAAGAAAATGTAAAGAAAATTACCACAAAGTTTAGAATTTTTAAACTATTAACTGTAATCACAGTATCACTTTAAAAACAATGCTTTCAAAATTTTTTTTACCGTAATTTAACGATGTCTCTGTTAGAAACAAACGCGTTTAGTTATACACGTCTAAACATAACCAAAAACTTCGTCTTCATAAACAATGAAAATAACCTGAAGCATTCAGTGCTGCCAAATAATGCACAAAAATTTCCCTAGAGTGGCCACCTTGGGGCCTTCTATACTATAACTAATATCAGGGACAATAAATAAAAAAAATGTTTCTTTATGGGATTATTTAAAAATTGTAAAAGGGTTAAATTTAAATTCCAACTCTATGGGGACATAATCCTAAAAAATAAATCCACATAGAAAGATGCATTTTTTTAATGCTGTCAGTTCTGATTGCAATGGCGATAAAATGAAATTTTTTACCTGCCTGAGTTTGGGTCTGGAGATGCGAACTCAATTAATATATCACGAATCTATGACCTCAATTTTATTGCTACTTTCTCGAAAAAAAAATTTCTCCATAACTGTTATTGAGGTTAAATAACTTGTGACCCAAAATAAAAACTACTATTTAGGAACTATTAATAACTTTTGCGGATTCATTCATAAAAAGTACAGAGTGACCGTTGATCGGGAAACTTGGAAAACCGGATAACATGGAATTTTTTTCTTGACCGGGAATTTTGAATTTTTTTATTAAACAAATTTTTTTTAAATAATTCAACTTTACAGATTTGAAATTGAATTTATTTTAAATAGTTTTGTGAATATAATTTTATTTAAAAATTCAGAAAATTATTGAATTTTATAAAAATTGCGCTTTAAATTTTTATTTATTTGTTCATGTAAATTACAATATTTTTTTAATTGCAAAATTCAGCTTTAATTTTTGAATAATTTTAAATACAAAATTTAATAAAATTCAATTCTTATAAAATTCTTTAAAACAATTCAATTATTTTCAAGAAATTTTATAAAATTCTTCGCACGAGATTATTAATTATTTTCAATACAATTTTAATGAAATTCGTCGAAAAAATTTGCAAGAATTTAATTATTTTCATGTACCTACATATAATTATAAATTCTTCACAGGAATTCAAATATTTTCAATATAATTTTACTAAAATTTCTCGAAAGAATTTAATTATTTTTAGTAGAATTGTAATTGAAATCCTCTCAAAAGAATTTAATTATTTTCAAAAAATTTCCATAAAATTCTTCAAAACAATTAAATTATTTTTAAAACTGAAAAATTAATATAAATAAATTAATATAATATTAATATGTAAAATGTTATATTTTAAAATAGAAAAAATTTCACATACAAAATATCATTTATAACGAAAACGAAATATCATTTCGTTTTTCTACAATAATTTATAAGTATAACTGTATTTTTATATTTTAGGATGCTAATATTATTAATATAGATTAAATTTCAAAAAGTTTCAAATTAATGCTTTAGAAAAGTTGAATTTTAAAAAACTTTAGTAAAAAATTCTGAATAAATTAGTTTTTTGAAACAGTTTTATTCACATTTGTTTGAAATTAGTTATATTTAGAAATATACTTTTAATTGAAAAATTTTCAAATTATACGAAATTTCATAAAATTGTCTTCTACACAAGTGGATTTTAGAAAACATTTAGTTGTAAGAAGACTTTTTTTAAATAATAAGATTTTTTTAATTTTTCAATTCTATTGTTTCAAAATAATTGAATTTTTATAAACAAATAATTAAAAATTTTTGAAACAATTTGAAAATTTTTAAAATAATTGAAATTTCTTTACATTTTATTAGAAATAATTAAATTCTTTTAAAAAATTTAATTTAAATTTTTCGAAAATAATCAAGGGAAGTTAGTTACCGTAATTATAATTTTATTTTTAAAAATTCCTTTGCAATATATTCAATTATTTTCATAAATATAGTAAAACTTATTTTAGAATTTCAATTATTTTTAATACAATTTTAATCGAATTCCTCGAAAAATGTAATAATTCTTAAAAATTTTGTTACAATTATTCGTCAAAAGAATTCAATTATTTCCATAATCAGATTTACTAAATTCTTTTGAATATTATTTTTAAAAAAATTTTTCACAATAATTCAATTGAATCGTGAATTTCGAAAAGGCTCAACTCTAAAAATCATAAGTTCCATTTTTACATAACAAATGACAATGAAAATGACTCTTGCGATTTTTAGAGTTAAGCCCTTTTCGATTTTCACAACTCAATTATTTTCATAAATTTCCATAAACTTCTTAGCAGAAATTAAATTATGTTTAAAATTTTTTTAAAATTCTCCTCAAAATTTCAATTAGCTTTATAAATAAATAAATTTTTCTTCAGAATTCAATTATTTTCAAAAAATTTTAATAAAATTCTACGCAAACATTTAATTATTTTCATGAATAATAATATTCTTTGGAAGGATGCCATTACTTTTATAAATAGGAAAATTCTTTGCAAAATTTCAATTCGTATATCAATACATTTTAATAAAATTGAATTAATCAAATTTTCAATTTTAATTATGAACAGACAAGATCATTTTGAAAAATTGAAAAAATTCTTTGTTTATAATTAAATTATTTTCCAAATTTTTAATTAAAATTATTGAAAAAAACATTATTTTCAAAAATTTCAAACAAACTCGTCAAAAGAATTTAATTATTCATAAAAACTCGAATAAAAATTTTGGATGTCATTTGTAGATTAATTTATGTTCGAAATATGTATTTTGGGAATAAAAATAAAAATTGAACGCGTGAAAACGTGAATAGACAACTTATTGTAAATAAGACATTTACATAAGTAAATGAAACGATTTACTTTTTTAATGCGCTTATTTCAAGTTTAGCCAATTTTGTCGAATAGAAAATGTATTTGGGGGACGAAAATAAAAATTGAACGCGCATGAAAACGTGAATAGACAATACTTGAGTCTCTCGCAGAAAAAAGATTTCGATTGAATATCGCCATTCAGTGAAGATCCATATCAGACAACCGAGAACGGATCCTTTAACAACTATAATGATGGCAGTACAGTAGCGGCGGAGGACTCGAGTAATCAGGGTGGATCTGCCGAAGAAGCTGTTGAGAGATTCGAGTAAACGGGACACGATGAGTTGATGATCGAAAGGGGAAGGGACAAAGGGTGCAAGAAAGAAGCATTCTGAATGAAAGGGAATCCAGCTTTCGCGGCGATAAGAGCAATAGGTTCCTTTACAAGACAAGGCTCCATAACGAGTGGAGCGAACTCATCATCACGTCCGGAAGTGGAGCTTCCCTCATCTCATTTACAGTTTCATGATCTTGGTGCATCCTCCTCATGCAAATCGATCTTACACTAATTTCTTGAATAAATATCCTCGAGAAATGAAATTCTGCGAATCGAGTTTTCCTTCTTCCATTTTCTCCTGGATTTTACTTTTGTTTCACTTCATATTCATTTTCTAGGGAATAATTCTACAATTGGAAAACATTTTCACTAATACTTTTAACTTATTCCTATTTATTTCTAAATTTTCTTCCCATTTTAATAAAAAAAAGTTTTCATTTTAATCTCCGATCAGTAAATAATTGACAATAAGAATAATAATGTTAAAATTTTCAGAGCGAAATCAAAAAATGGCGGCCGACTTCTGAGGGAAAAATTGGAGAAAATTGGTCTTAATTTACCAGCCGGAAGGAGGAAGGCTGCCAACGTTACGCTATTAACATCCTTGGTAGAAGGTGCGTATCTTTGAGCAATTTTTTTTTTATAAAAAACTTGAAAAAACCTGTTATTGAGGAAATCAAACAACTTCTAATTCTACCAGGGTTGCCACAAGTCAGGGAAATCAGAAAAAGGCAGGAATTTTTTATTAAAGTAATGGAAAAATTGAATTTTTGAGGAGTTACAAATGATTGTTGAAATTCAATTTTATTATTTTCCAAAGTAATAAAATTCTTCGCAGAAATTCAATTATATTCGAAAATTAAAAACAATTCTCGTCAAAATTATTCAATTATCTTCAAAAATAATAAAATTCTGCAAAATTCAATTATTTTCAAAAATTTTAATAAAATTCCTGACAAGACTTTAATTATTTTCAAAAATTTTCCCCAATTCAATACGATTTTCAATAGCTACTACTTGAATAAAATTTTTTAAAAGAATTCAATTAAATGTGAAATGAAAATTTTACAGGAATTCAACTATTTACAAATATTTTTTTAATAAATTTCTTCGTTATAATTCAATTATTTTCATAAATAATATAATAAAACTCATCATAGAATTTCAATTATTTTTAATACAATTTTATTCGAATTCCTCCAAAAATGTAGTTATTCTTGAAAATATTTTATTAAAATTCGTCGAAAAAATTTAATTATATTGATTCAATTCTTTATGAAAATTCAATTTTGAGAAATATTTATTTTTTCAATAAATTATTTTTTTTTGTATTTAAATAATTGAATTCTAGTAGAATTTTCTAAGAAAAATTAATTTAACAATTAATTTTAGTTAAAATTTTAGATAATAATTGAATGTTAAAATCATTATTAGCACGAATTTTTAAAAATAATTGAATTTTGAAAAGGTTACAAATCAAAATATTGGAAAAATTCAATTTTTTATACTTTTAACTCACAATTCTGTAGAAATAATTTTTTTTAAAACGTTTAATACAACTTTTTTAAAATTATTTCAAGTTTTTATTTTCTAAATATTCAATTGAAGAATTTCCAAATAATTGAAATTTCGTAAAATTGAATTGTAAACAAATGGATTTGAAAATTCTCAAGGAATTTTTGCAAAAATTATTAAAAATAATTTATAATTGAATTCTTTTGAAAAATTTTAATAACATTTTTTTAATTAATTACATTTTTTGAAGAATTTATTTAAAATTGTATTAAAAATAATTAAAATCCTGTTAAGAATTTTATTATTTAGGAGAATAATTGAATTCTTGCAACAATTTTTTATTACGTTTTTTAAATAATTAAAATCATGTGAAGAATTTTATTATTTATGAATATAAATGAAATCTTGCAACGAATTGTATTAATTTTTTTTTAAATAATTAAAATCCAGTAAAAAATTTATTATTTATGAAAATAATCGAATTCTTGCAACGATTTTTTATTACGTTTTTTAAAAATAATTTATTTCTTTTGAGAAATTTGATGAAAATAGTAGATTCTGAAAATATTTGAATTTCAGCGAAGAATTGAATTTTTGCAAAAAATTTTTGAAAATAATTACATTTTTCGGGAAATTTATTTTAAATTATGTTAAAAATTATTGAATTTTGAAAAGGTTTCAAATTAAAATCTTTGAAAATATGAATTTTTATACTTTTAACTGACAATTCTGTAGAATTATTTTTTTTTTAAGTTTAATTGGATTTTTTTGAAATTATTTCAAGTTTATATTTTCTAAATATATTTAATTGAAGAATTTCCGAATAAACGAAATTTTCTAAAATTGAATTGTAAACAAACGGATTTGAAATTATTCTCAAGGAACATTTGCAAAATTTATTTAAAATAATTGATAATTGAATTCTTTCGAAAAATTATAATAAAATTTTTTAAATAATTACATTTTTGAAGAATTTATTTAAAATTGTATTTCAAAATAATTGAAATCCTGTGAAGAATTTTACTATTTAGGAGAATAATTGAATTCTTGCAACGAATTTTTATTACATTTTTTTTAAATAATTGAAATCATGTGAAGAATTGTATTATTTATGAAAATAATTGAATTCTTACAACAAATTTTAATACATTCTTTTTAAATAATTGAATTCTTTTGAGAAATTATATTAAAATTGTAGATTTTGAAAATATTTGAATTTCAGCGAAGAATTTCATTATTTGTGAAATGTAATTGAATTCTTACAAAAAATTTTTTGAAAATAATAAAATTACATTTTTCGAGAAATTCATTAATATATTAAAAATAATTGAAATCCTATGAAAAATTTTATTATTTATGAAAATAATTGAATTTATGTGAAAAATGTTATTACTTGTAAAATTAATTGAATTCTAGCGAAAGCCTTTGTAAATAATTTAATTTTTTTTTTTTTTTTTTTGAAAAATTTGATGGAAATTAAAATCATTATAAAACATGAAGATAATATTCTTATAAGTTGTCTAATTTTAAAAAGGTTTGAATTTAAATTTTTTTGAAAATCTTCATTCCTATGGAAAAATAGTATTGATTAAATATTTATTTAAAAAAGAAGTTATTGATGTTTTCGAATAATTTTACAATTAGAGAAATTCGTAAATAAATTTAATAGAACATTTTTTTTGAATATCTAATAATTTTTAGAGTGATTCAGAATATTCTTTAGGGTGAGGGAAAAAGTCAAAATTTTGGCTGGAAATCAGGGAAAAACAAAATTAATTTTTTGTGTCAACCCTGCCTAAAGAAGAATCTGTTGATTTGCATTTGAAATTGTTGAACTGGTTACTAATAAATAAAAGTATCAATTGCAATATAGGACTCAACAATTTCACAATTAATTATTATATGATATTTAAAAAAAAGTGTTTTGTAGAAAAAATAATGTCGTAATTTTGAAACTGAATACATGAGAGCCTCAGTATATTGAATTGTTCAGAAGTCTGTTGTTCATATTAAATGCAAAGAATATAAACGAGAGTGGTCGAACTAAAGGAAATGCCCACACGGTCCTTTTTGTCATCAAAGAACTGAAGATCTTACAGTGAGTCTTAGTCTTGAATGAGTCGTGAAAGTGTGGGAACAGTCACTCACATTTCTCAAGTGCGTGATTCATGCGTAATTTGTCATGATGATTAAACTCAGAAACTTCTTTTCGCTTGGCCATTATTACTGAGTGATTTTACATTGAAATGAGAATGCGTAAACTACGCACACAAAATTCTAAATTCTCTCTCTTTTTCTAAATAAGCAATCTTTATATAGAAACTATACGAATTTTTCGACTTATTTTAATAAAATGCGCCTTTTTCGACTTTTCCTCCACAAATTTCAACAAAATAATACTTTTTTACAAAGTTTTTAAAAATTCAAAATGGCGGATCCAATATGGCGGATGACAAAATAAAAAATTAACCGGATTGGCTTGAAATTTGTTACCCAAAAGTTTTCGGGTCCCTGATTCTGAATTTGACATCAGTTTCTAAAAATCCAAAATGGCGGGTTCATTATGATAATTATTAAAATTAGCTGTACTTTAAATCGACCAAAACAACTTTTTTTTTGCGTCTTAAAGTCGATTCGAGGGTTGAAGTATGTAGAAAAAGTTTGAGGAATTTATGCGTACTCCAGACTGTAAACTCACTCATTGTTTTGGTTACGATGTTCCAGGAACTTTGCACCTTTCTCGTGATTCTCATGAATGAAACAAGTTCACTAAGAGGAATGCAAATATCTCACCCACGCTTCACGTCACAGTTGACCAATATTCCTATAAAGTTCAACAATCTCTAAATGAACAAACACAGGACCAAAAAAATGCCACCTACGTATTTTTAAAAATTGTTTGCAACTCTCCATTAAAATTTTATGAATAAAAATAAAAAAAGAATTAAAAAAAAAAAAAATTTAAATTAAAAATAAAAAAAAATTACTTAATAAATAAATAATTTAATTAATTTATTAATTATTTATTAATTTTAATAAATTTTTTAATAAGTTATTTTATTTAGTTATAATTAATTAAAATAACTTATTACATACTTAGTTATTATTTAATTTATTATTTCGTATTTCTTGTTTTCTAAAATGGTTTTGAGCTCAAAAGACAGAACTTTCTTCATCATATCAAGTCTGCATGGGAAAACTGGGGAATTTTGTTAAAGGAAAATAATGTTTCATTAAAGACTTGTAATAATAGAAGTGAATGAATTGAATGTTGTGTTACATGACTTAGATCAATTTAAAACGCCAACGTCAACTGCACATGAATTGAAAGTCGTTCTAAGAATGATATAATAAATTATTCCGTATGATCATTGAGCGCTCTCCCTTTTCTCCGCGTCTCTTTCTAGTATAAGTAAATATATATATTGTATTGAAAACGTTCCACTTTTCATTATAAGCTAAAAAAAGAGGTGTAAAATAAACTTATTGCTGCAGTACAATAAATCACTTCATCGAGTTTATTTGCGTTTCGTAATTACAGTTTTTTTTTAAAAAGCCATCATGTGATGATGCTTTCTCTATAGAAAAAGTATTACTAATTTACATACGAATAAAACTGATTGTCATCATAGAAAAAAATCAATTCAAGCCTATCATTTATGTTTATATTATATATATTTCATAATAGAGTTATTTATTTTATAAGCAATTTACAAAATTTTTTTATTTTAAATATGAATTTCTGAATAATGTCAGATTCAAACTTTAAAAAAATTTTTAATGATTATTAACTAATTTACTAATTAATTATTCTTGTTCATTAATTTCAAAAATTTTAACTAAATTCTTCGCTAGAATTCAATTATTTTCATAAGCAATAACATTTATTGTAAGAATTCAATTATTTTTTTAAATAGTAAAACCTTTGGAAAAATTCGATTATTTAAAAAAAAAAAAATTCACGAAAGATTTTAATTTTTTCTTAAAACTATGTAAAATATTTCAAAAGAATTCAATAATTTTCTAAAATGTTAATAAGTGATTCGAAACAATTCAATTATATTTTTAAATAGAAAACTTTTTTGCAAAAATTTAATTA